GGAGCAGGCGTACAGTTGAGGACCCGACGAAGCCCCTGCATCCTACTTCAACGGGGCCCATGATGGTTTTCCAGCCAGCTTCTCTGCATTTTGCTGCCAAGTCTGCGTACTTTGCACATTTCCGCTCGTTGGCAGCCTTCATGACTTCCTCCCATGGGACGGTAAGCTCCACCATCTGAATGGTCCTGCGTGGGTCTGACTACATGATCAGAGGGGAATTGGAGCTGCCTCCCCAGGTTGACCCTCATCGACCACTTGGTGCCTGGTGAGAGTACCGTTGGTGTTACTCTCTGGCAAGGAAGGTTGGTGTTCTCTCTGGCCTTTGCAAACCATATCAGAGGTCTTGCTGAGGTGGAAGGTCTGTTGTTGACCTCCTGTCTGCATGACTCCGCCACCTCTGCCAGCTTCCTTAACACCAGGTCATGACGCGACCTGCATGTAGCGGCCTTGGGACAATGCGGTCTTACAGCCTGATAGGATATGCTGGAGGCTTGCATTGCCAGTGCTGCACAGGGCACAGGACTCTTCTGCACCAAACCACAGGTGGAGATTTCTGGGACAAGGCAGGGTATTGTAGGACGGCCTGATCAGGAAGCTGAGCCTGGCAAGGGGGATCTTCCACATATCAGTCCATGCCAGGGGCCTGTCTATAACACCTTCCCATGACATCCAGCTTCCCTGTTGGCTTTGAGCCACCGCTTTGATTTTAAGGCGTTCCAGCTCGGTCCTTGTCACCTCTGCCACCACCATGGCTTTCTGCTCTTCTTTCGCCGCCTTTGACCAGAAGAGGGTGGTCTTGCCCCATCCAAGGCCTGCTCGGCCCTCCTGCACACTTCTGACTACCTCACAGTGTTTCAGTCTGCTGATCGCCCTGTCCACCAATTCCTGCGCTTTCCACTTTCTCCCTGTTCGTACTTGGGGGGCAGCTGCTCTCACCAGTTGATCAGTGGAATCCCTCAGCTCCAGCACCATCTGGGCCTTCTCTTGTTTGTAGCCCAGACCTATGGGTCGCAGTGGCAGCTGCAGTGCATTTCTGCCAAAGAGGCCTACATCTGATAGGCATCTCAGCAGTCCCAGTCACTTCCTAATGAACGAGTTTGCCAGCCTATCCATCTTGTCCACCACAGACGAAGAGACTTCGCTCATCTTCAGGCCACATCACCCTTGGGTACAGCATGAACTTTTAACTCCATGCCGTGTACTTGCCGGGGAGCTGGCTCTGATTGATCCTGGCTAGGCCATCTGCCAGATGCTTCCTCACTGTTTCCCCCATTTTCAGAGTTCTGCAGCATAGGTTTGACCAAGGCTGCGGATGGGTTGGCTTGCCAGCAGTGGGATCTCTTCACCACCTACAACAAATGTGGTATTATCGCTTCTAACTCCTTTCCTCAGGGAGAAGCTGCGCGATTTGGCAGGTTTGATCTTCATCCTTGCCCACCCCACGAGCTCGTCAATCCTCTTCAGCAGTCTTGTTGTACATGCTGCTGTCTGGAGGATGGTGGTGATGTCGTCCATATAGCCTCTCTGTGGGGGTAGCCTTTGCCCTGATGGAAGCTTTACTCCTGCGACCATCGTCCTTGCTCCTATTAGGACGATCTCGAAAGCTGCAACAAAAAGACTGGGAGAGATCAAGCATCCCATGGCTATACCTACGTCCAGCTGCTGCCATCCTGTAGTGTAGTCCTGGTGGGTGCACTACATCTTGAGGTCCTCAAAGTACTTGGCTACTAAGGTTCTGATGGGGCCAGGGATATAGAAGAAGTCCAGGGCATAGTTGATGAGTTGATGGGGGACGGATCCGTATGCGTTGGCAAGGTCCAGCTATACCACATGCAGGTCACCTTTTTCGCCTTTGTTCCACAAACCCTGGGAATCCTGGTACACCTGCTTTCTGGCAGCTGGTGTCAATGTACCTTCAATGTGCCCTTTGCCACTCTGAGGGGATAACATGGTTCTTCCAGGCCACCTTCATGAGGTTCCACAGAAGTTTCTGGGCAATATTTGTACAGTTTGTAAGGTATCCCATTGGGGCCTGGGGCTGAGGCTGCTCTTGCTTTCCGGACTACTTCTGCGACCTCAGTGAGCTTGGGGAGAGCAGCATCAAATGGGGAAGATGGGGGGGCTGGGCGATGAACATAACCAGGAGATCCCAGCGGAGTTGATCTTGCTGGGTCGCTGTATTGCTCCCTGAAGTGATCCTCTAGCTCCGATTTTGTGATCCCCAGCTTCCAGCTTCTATTACCCTCTAGAAGCTGTCTTGCGTGCTTGAAGGGGTTTTTGAAGAAGTTACTCCTCTCCTTTTCCTTCTGCCTTCTGCATTTGCGGATCTGTCTGCCCTCCACAGACTGGCAAGGTTCTTCTTCACCTCCTCCCACAGTGGTTTCAGGCCCTCCTTCTCCTCTTTGCCTGCTTTCCTCCACTGCTTTTGGAGCTGACGCCGCCCTTCACCAACTCCTCGATCTCCCTCTCCCTTCTGGTGGTTTTATAGCCATTACTCCAAACCTGGCTTTACACTCCTCGTAGAGGAAGACTCCAAAGCAGTTTAGCTTGGTCTCTATTTGGCCACGTAGCGAGTACTCTAAGATGTTAACCAGGTCTTTATCCAGCTGCTGCCACACTGCCACCTCGTTGGCTTTGGGCCATTTGACTGGATGCCGGCAGCCTGGTTCTTTCCTCTCTGTCCTCTGTCTTAGTTCCTGGTTATGAGGGTTTTGTTGTGTTCTGAGGTTCGTTGGGGTTCTGGGGGTGTTCTCCTCGGTGCCACTCTCAGACGAATAGGTATCCGCCAGGGATCCTTCTGTGTCCTCCATTTGCCTTCCTTCAGCAGCGTTGGAACCCTCAGTGCTGTGGTTAGCGACCTGGCTTTGGGCTCCTATTGTCTGACTTGCAGATGCAGTGCAATGTTGCTGCTGGTCACTCACTCCGCACTTCGTTTTTCCCTGGTGAATCCTTAGGCCCCTGAAAGTTGTCAGCTTCTCCCAGCCACACCTGCATTTTCGCATTACCTTGTCATCATTGCCTGTGTCCGTTCCAGTCGTTACCGAAAAATCCGTCCGGGTTGGTCCTTCTTCCATCCCGCCTCTCGGAGGGCCATCGGGTTGTTTGATATTCTAAATAAAATGCTATCCCTAAATCTTTCGTGAGGGGCACATTATGTTGTTTAGAGTAGACTCAGATACTTAGACTGAACAGCAGATGGAAGTAAAGAGTTTGACTTAATGGGATCCTGTTGTTCATGCAATGCCATATTTTAAAGTGAAATTCTATATTTTTATGTTATGAATGTACTGGTTCCAGCCCACTTGACATCTAATTTAAAATGAGTTTGACACCCCTGATCCTCAAAATACGTAAGTAGGTATTCAGGTAAGTGGATGGATGGATGGATGGATGGATGGATAGATACTATTAAACGTAATTTTAAAGATCCTGTAAAATATCTTCTCAAAATATCTGATCACATTAGCATTACTGTCTTAAGTGGCTTTAGCATGGAACTTGTCACATTGATCCAGAACTTCTTGTAATTTTGCACAAAGGATGCCCTGCAGAGACAGAGACAGATTTACTGTAGTCTTACCAGTGTATAGCCCATGAGCACTTTGGAAAACAAGTCAGAATGTTTGATTGGACTTACTGAAAGTGGACAGGGTCAGTATGTGCCAATCCTTCTGACTTCCAGGACACTTGAATAAAGGTTTTATTGATATTAGAAGTGTGGGACACAGCTGTGTTCTGAAAACACACACAAACACATAGAGAGAGTTCAGATTATGCAGAAAACAATGCACTTAAAATAATACATTAATACATTAGGGAGTGGGGGGTGGAGGTATGGTGGACCACACCTACTGCCTGTGATGCCCATGTCTGAGAGTATGGATAATGGGATACAGTGATTGATCATGTTAAATGCTGTTGACAAGTCGATCATTAATTATAATTCATTTTATATTTCAAGAAAAACAGAATGGAATTTGTTTAAAACATATAGCTTCTAAACCACTGTATTGTTTTGTTGAATATTGACTGAAGCTTCAGCTTTAAACTCAATTACAAAATTAATTATAATTACTATTAATAGGTTTAGAAAATATAAAAGTGCATGCATGCAGGGCATGCAGGGAAAAATGGCAACAAAAAAAACAAAAAACTTACAAGTCTTTGATGGCAGCTGAGCAGCTGTGCAGCCTCTGTTTTCAGACCAAAGGAGCCCACTGTGAATGGTTTCCCTACCTCTCTGGCTTGCAATATGAAACCAATGAATGGTGTGGATCCTACAGCCCGCAAGTAAACTATGATGAAAAAAAAAAACATTTATTTATTGTACTGAAGAAAGTTTCAAATTAACTATCAGGACTTAAATGGACTTTACACTAAACTGTAAACAGAGAACACATACAAACGCCATATACAACAAATTGTTGTTGAAATGTGTGCGCAGGAACCAAATGCAGCTTTCCAGACACACAGGGGATCAGGTTCAATTATTTTATTTGTAATCAAAAATTCAACTCAGGCAGAAGGCAAAAACAAAACAAGGCTAGAAAGGAAGGCTGAGCAGGGCAGACAAGAAACAGAACAGAACTCTGTCAATGGAGCATGGGAAAAAAGAACACACAAATCAGACTGAACGGGTAATGAACTCACAAAGAGGGCTGTAATTTACAGATGAGAATCATAACAGAGGTATACGAAAGCACTAAACCAGGCGTCGACAAATTTTTTGACTTGCGGGCCACAATGGGTCTTAAAATTTGACAGGGGGGCCAGGTCAGCAGATAAATGGAGTGTTGGTATGCACTAAAACAAATGGCAAAGATGAAGTCAGTAAGTGCTTTTAGCCTTTTCTATGCCATCTTTTGGGAAAAGCAGGCAGGAATATCATAAAAATAGAAATTAATAACTTGGAATTACTTGGATAAGACAACTTTGGTGGGCCAGATTAAAAAGCCAAACGGGCTGCATCCGGCCCCCGGGCCGTAGTTTGCCCCTGCTTGCTCTAAACCATAGACAGAAACACAGACCTGTCTAACACACAAACAATTAGTCAGACCGGATGAAGTGAGGGAGAGAAATATTTCAAGACAGGTGTGATGAGTGGGACTAGAGAGACAAGCAGAGCACAGAAACAGGTCACACTTATAACCCGGGGAGCGACAAAGAGAAGGGCTGAGGCAGAGAAGGGCAGAGAGAAGTCTGAGAGGCAGAAAGAACGGCAGAGAGACAGTTAATGGCATAGAAACAGATACAGAGTAGGACAGAGTGGGAGACAGACATGACAAGTCCCTAAACTGGTGACCTTTTTGCTGTGAGAAACAATTATTAAGTAGTATGTACAATATGACAGGTACATTTTAAAAAGTGAGTGGGAGAATGATAAATAAAAAGACATATTTCATTTTTTGATTAACATTAGAGTAATTGGATTAGAAATAAAGAACAGATTTTTTTCTAAAATAAAACTCGGGAATTATTTACTCTTAATAGAGGATTTTGATAGTTGGCATATCATACTCTTTCAAAGACTGACTTTCCACTTTTAAGGCTGTTTAACCAAACGAAAGGACATCACTAAATGTTAATATGTAAGAGATTGTCGTCCATTTTTAACAAAAACAGTTTAATTTAGACCATCTGAAATCAATAATAAGTACTAGATCACCAGGTTCCTTACCTGTTACTTCTTCGCCAGAGGTGTATGTGTCACGATCTGTGGTGACTGTAAAAGGTGCTAGACTTGTTTCCGGACTCCAGCCAGAGTGGTGAGGCTTCAAGTCGTCACAGCTCTCCTCGACACTACCTGAGGAGTAGCAAAAGACTCTTGCAACAATATGGACCAGCAGGAACAGAAAAATATCCATTGCTGTAACCGTCGCCACTGAACTGAAAAACATGTAACCAGGCACCCTGCTCAGCCCTTGGGAGCTCAGGTGGTTTCTGTCAGTGTAAAAACAAGACAAAGGAGGAGTGATTCAAGAAATAATAGAAGGAGGCGACATTTGTTCCCAGCCCACACCATAAACAGGGGTCCGTTTCTTGGCTCACGAAACTCCCGAGTTCTCCCGAGAGAAAAACTGAACAGGAAACGGCTTGGCAACAAATAGCTGATAGAGTGAAATGTTCTGTCTAACTGTGTAAAATGATTAATATACTGTATATCTCTGTGATTTCTCTCGCACCTCTGTGTGCGCACAGCTGACCATTGTAAATTTGAATCAAGGTGTAACTCAACTAAGTTAAAAAGGACATGGCAGCAAATTAAGACCAAATACTAAAATATAATACAAACAGGGAGGTGTAACTTCTGCACAACACACTGGGAGGTTCTGCTGGTTCTGCTTAATGTCACTCAGAGCAGTGATCCTCAACTTACATTATTTCCGTTTTATTCATTATCTTTTTCCAAACAATGTTTTATTTTAAAAGAATGACCAGATTCTCTCCGCCGCACCTGTCTATGACACACACTTGATAGATGTCAATATGCTTGCGTCAGTTACATGTCTTACCTACATCCTCTTACTTCTTTTCTTTCTTTTTTTTTTACTTTATATCAGGGGTGTCAAACTCATTTTCACCGGGGACCACATCAGCAATACAGTTCCCCTTGAAGGGCTGGCTGGAAGACTGATGTAAATTTGCTTAATTTTTACCAATTTACTTTATTTTATTATAATTATTATATATATTATTTTTTTATAAAGAAAGATTGATATGTTCTTTAATCATATTTATTTATTCCTCTCTCCTTTTCTTGTTATTTTTTTGGCAAATATCATTGAGGATTTTAACTTTAAATATTCCCATTTGGATATCATTTTTAATTTTCAAGATTAGAGTTTTAATAGCGTTATCAAGTGAGAATTAAATTTCCAAAAACCCTTTAATGTATTGTCTTTTAGTCTTAGATTTATAGTGCAATAATCATGTTAAGGACAATTAGAGATTGTTGTCTTTGTGACATATTGTGACATTAAGTTTGAAACAAGCCAGTAACCATTACGTGATCTATTTTGCCCTTTGGGTTTGTGCCAGGTAAATCGTCTGACATGTTTGTTCAGTGTTGTCAATTTCCAAAACACAGGCAACCCAATCACCATCTTTATCTACGTTGTTATACAGAATCTTAACAGGATATCTATTGAAACAGATGGCAGCAACTGCTGAACTGTTTGTTCCATCACTTGTTGTCCAAGATTTTATCTCCCCATTGTTGTGACCAAAACTTAACATCAGACTCATCAGAATGAGTTTCCTGGAGAAAAATGCATTTTGCTTGTTGCCCCTTGCAGAACAAAAAAAAATGCTTTACGCCTAACTGAATACAAAACACATACTTGGTTTATGAAGAGGATTAAGGAGGTGCAGTATAAATATGTTTAAGTATAGCCAGTCCATACCTTTAGTTTGCCCTCTATAAACCCAAATGGGCCCCAGTAGCCCACAGCCTTGCCTTCCTCTCGAGCCTGGTTAATTTTGGGCCACAATGCCTGTCTGGACTTCCCGTCCAATTGGGTTAGGTCTTCAGCAAAGCGGATCCCTTCTTTTCTGCACACAGGAGAAGCCTTCGTTCATTTCCATATTTCATCTCTCATATTCCGCATACATAATGATAATTTGTCTCTCTGTTCTCTGTTCTCTGTTCTTGAGTCTCTGTGGTTGATGTTGTCCCACTCTGGACAACATCAACCACTTCATCCATCTTTGTCTTCAGGTCAGGAGCAATACTACCAAGAATCTTCATCACATCTCTGATGTTTTTTTAATTTACTTTCTACTTTTTGCCTTAAATGCGAAGGCAGCATCTCTTTTTATGCCTTTCTTGATTCAATAAATGACCTTTAATATACTAATTTTCTTTTGTGAGTAATTCAACTTGATTTTCCAAGTGTTTTATTTTTGTTTTACATTCCTCCAGCTCCTCAGAGATACACTGTACTGCTTTAGCAATGGTAGCTAACATGGAGCCGTGCAATCCATTCACTTTTCTACGCATTTAACAAGATTCTTCACTGTAAAAAAAAAAATCCATTCACTTTTCTACGCATTTAACTAGATTCTTCACTGTAAAAAAAAAATGCAGCCGTCGTTGCCGAAAAAGTGCCGTAAAATTACAATAAAACACTTTCTTCATTTACAGTAAAAAAAATGTATGTATTTCAGTATTTTACTGTAAATGATAAAGTTCTAATATTTTAAAATTACATTGTTTTAATTTAAAATTTACATGGGAATATTTTTATTTTAGCAGTACAATGCCGGCAGCCGTGGTTAATTTACGGCTTGATAATGTTGACTTTACGGTTAAAAAGTGTGCTTGATTCCTTATTTTTCTGTACAATTAACGGTATAAATTGTAAGCTACATTATTCTGTAAAATATACCACAGATTCTTGCGAATATTAAGGTCCAAACAGAAATTTCCCTAAAAATTACAGTAAATGTGTGATACTGAAAATGTAGGATGTGCATTTTAATCGTTATGCAGTGCAGCCCTACCTTTTTTCTGTAAACTTCAAACACAGCAGATGAATTAATCTTGTTAAATTAGTTAATGTTCCAAAAATCACAACATTCACCGTAGTACTTTCCGATACAAACTCTTTATTTGAAGTCCAAACTTTTACAACTTTGCCGGCACAATAAACCGCAGTAAAAACGTAAAAACACTCTACTTACAAACTGTAACAGTTTGAAAAAGCCAGTGATTATTTTCTTCTTTTTACCCTCAACTTTGGTGCCTCTGTAGATGAAAAGAAATTCCTTCATGAGAGAGAGAGAGAAAGGGTTAGAACTAAATTAGTTTTGTTTCTTTTTAAAATGATTGCAGTGAGGAAAATGAGTGGACAGATTTAATAGGTACACACCCTTAACAACAAAATATCTGCAGTGTATATCATATCAAACGTACCTTTTATTACATCATCCCTCAACATCATTGGTAGGTCCACTCATGGTCGGCAAGGTCTGAGATCAGTGTCAAGACTCTGGGACTGACCAATAACACATTTTTACTCTTCTTCCAGGATTTAGGTAGTGTATGTTGAAGCAGTAGTAACTGCCAAACATCAGGCAGATGGCAGATGTGAAGAAAGTGATGTTGACAACCTCTCGGTCAATGCTCAACATAAATGTCTCAGCACTGTTAGATTTCAGTGGTTTTCACATTTGGTTGGGTCTGCTTAACGTCAGCCGTCTGCAATGTAGCACCACCCCAAGAGTACACCCCCAACTTTTTCTTAGGAGAAATCTTCTACTCGTGTGCTGATAACCGGAACACTGATATTGAGGTAAGTAATGGGTATTGATTATTGGAGATATTAATTATTATTATAATATTATTAGATATTAAAACTTGTATTTATAATTATTAATTTTAATTTGAGTGACCGGTAACGGATAAGCGGATGAAAATGGATGGATGGATGGATTTGAGTGACCTAAGATCAAAGATCTCCAAATCATCCCCTCCAGGTGAGGCTATACCCTAGAATCCTTGAGAGACAAAACCTCTGCTCCATGCAGACTCTTGTAGATTATTTCCAATTTGGTTGATAGCCTGCTTAATTGGAGCAATCTTAGGGAATCCGCCCAAGGCCTTAGTAGGCTTTGAATTTTTTTCATTTTCATTGGCAGTGGGACCCAAAAAACAAAAGGGCAAACTATTCTCAACATTTGTTGACAAATAAACCATAGTTAGACTTGTGATGGCAAAGACTAAAAGGCTAAATAAATGATGACTTTATGTAAGTTTGAGAATCACTTGCTAATTGACTGCTACTGTCCACAAGTACCAACTCTCATAAAATAACTGACCACCTGTATCGTGTAGATATTTTCCTTTTAATCCTTTTAATACCTTTAGACATGGAATGCCTTTTATCTTATGCATTCGAAACGGAACAGTCCATTGTCAAGCAGCAAAACCAGCCCAAGTAAATCAGTAGTTGAAATAGATTATAGTGATGAAAGTGAAATTACTAGGACACAGACATTTGGTAGAGTAACAGCAAGTGCTACTAATACAGGATCAAAATATGGCACCGAAAAGAGTTCAGCTAGAACAAAAAACAATATGTTGTTCAATCTGCCTGGATGTTATAAAGGATCCGGTGACCACACACTGTGGACATAGTTATTGTATGAATTGTATCAATACCCACTGGGATGGAGAAGATGCGAAGAGAGCATACAGCTGCCCTCAGTGCAGACAGACTTCCTCACAGAGGCCTGTTTTGATGAAAAACACCTTGTTAGCTGTTTTAGTTGAGGACTTGAAGGACTCAGGACTGCAAGCTGCACCTGCTGATCACTGCTATGCTGGAGCAGAAGATGTCGCATGTGATGTTTGTACAGGGAGAAAACTAAAAGCTCATAAATCCTGTTTGGTTTGTTTGGCATCCTATTGTGAGGAACACCTTAATCCACATAATGAATCGCCTCCGTTTAAAAAACACAAGCTGGTGGACCCCTTCAGACAGCTCCAGGAGAACATCTGCTCTCAACATGATGAGGTGATGAAGATGTTTTGCCGCACTGATCAGCAGTGTATCTGCTACCTCTGCCCTGTCAATCAACATAAAGGCCATGACACAGTCTCAGCTGCAGCTGAGAGGATGGAAAAGCAGCAAGACCTGGAGCTAAATCGCAACAGAATCCGACAGAAACTACATGACAGAGAGAAAGATGTAAAGATGCTTGATCAGGAGGAGAAAACTGTCAGCTGTTCTTCTGATAAAGCAGTGGAGGACAGTGAGGTGATCTTTGCTGAACTGATTAATTTCCTGGAGAAGAGATGCTCCGATGTACAGCAACAAATCAGATCCTATCAGAAAACTGAAATGCTCCGAGTGAAAGAGCTACAGGCACAACTGCAGCAGGAGATCATTGAGCTGAAAAGAAAAGATGCCGAACTGTTGAAGCTCTCATACATAGAGGATGACAATCACTTTCTCCGCACATGCTCATCAATGTCACCTACACAATTATCCAACACCAACATTCATCGTGTGACGTATTTTGAGGATGTTACAGCAGCAGTGTCACAGGTCAAAGGTCAAATTCTAAACATTCTAAATGAGACATGGACCAACATACTACTAACAGCAAGTCCAGTACAACATCGAGAGCCCAAGACCAGAGATGAATTTTTACAATACTCGCAGGAAATCACAATGGACCCAAACACAGCGAATTCGCATCTGTTGTTATCTGAAGGAAACAGAAAAGTAACTGCGATGAGAGAAGATCGGTCCTATTGTAATCACCCTGACAGATTCATTGATTGGTGGCAGGTTTGCAGTGTGGAGAGTCTCACTGGACGTTCTTACTGGGAGGTGGATTGGAGAGGAAATGGACTTTTTGTAGCAGTCACATACAGAAACGTTGGCAAAGGAAGGGATCATTGTGAATTTGGATTTGGACTAAATGAAAGATCTTGGGCTTTAAGTTGTTCTCCTGATGGTTACAATTTTTACCACAACAATGTTATTACAAAAGGTTTAGATGGTTTGCCCCGCTCAAAAATAGGAGTTTACATGGATCGTCAAGAGGGCATATTGTCTTTCTATAGTGTTTCTGACACAATGACACTCCTACACAAAGTCTGTACGACATTCACACACCCTCTCCATGTTGGAGTTAGGTTTGACCGTTACTATCCAGGAACTACAGCTGAGTTTTGTAAACTCAAAGAGCAATAAATCGAGTATGTGACAAAAAAAACCCCCAAAACAAACAAACAAAAAAACTTTAGACAAGACAGAGATAAACAAAACTGAAGAAAACAGATGAAACAGAGTCACTTCATTTCTGACATAACTGAAGTTAGAGTGCAAAAATGTGCACACTTAACTTTTTGAACTTTTTTTAATGGTTTAATGGTAATTAATTAATTAGTCATCGTCACGGGAGTCACGGCACAACATATAAACACAAAAACTCGGGGAGAAATCTCTAGCAGATCCAGAGTCAGTGTTGCAGACTAATGGGAGAGAGGACATTGTCATGGCTATTGTCATGACCCTAATTCATGTGTACTGAAATTGTTTACTAATTTCATAAACATCTGTTTGTTTATGTCAACAGTAGATGGTTGTGTTGTTGTATAGAGATTAACTGGACACAATTACAAAGGCAAGATACTTACAAGTTGAAAATAACGGATGGAAAAGACCCATACGAAGTCAACAAAGCTGAGTGGAAGCGAGCGGACACTGAAAATTAGCCAGACAATGTATATAATGCGGTATTTAATAACACAATAATACAGCTTGTTAATGTAAAAATCACAGTAGCATGTACGGATGTATGTCTTTTGTGAACATCATTAGAATAACAGTGTACATGGAGAATTTACGTTTGCATTGTGTGCATTTGTCATGTATGCAAAGTACATTTTGATTATTTTAATATTAACATATATTTAATATATGATATTTTAATTTTATTGACCTTGAACATATGAATTAAATACAAGTAATTACGTGAAATAACGTGTTTAGTACAGACTTTGTAATACCTTTTTGCTTTGAGCTGTGTTGAAATTAGCTCTGCTAATACATAAAAGGCATAGCATCCTTCTTTCTGTCGAAATATCCTCCGTCAGCTTCCCTTGGGGACAGATATCTTTATGTCAAAAAACGTCATCTTGCGATGTCCATTCCCAGATCGGTTGGTAGAACCCCACACAACACAGGTATTTACCATTATAGTTATTTTATGTATTTAATATCTAGCTATACTCTCTTTTGCCACACAAGATGGTGGACTACGGAACTATGGGTAGTAGCGTGACATCATAGAAAAACTATATATCTTCTAGAAGCACACGAGTAAACTGTGGAGTTTCCCAAGCTTAATTGCTTTGTCCAGATTTCCTTTGTGAAATAGCACAAAACATAATATCAACTTCCATACACTTCTATATTTATACACCC